ATGTAAATGGCAGGCTGTATTCGACCACCAGGTCTTAATAGCTTACTTAGTAACATATTAACACAATAATCACACTTTATATAGCTTGACCTGATGTACATTTGAATTCACTTAATGCAATCGCTTTCCATGCAGAGCCACTCTTCTGAGACTGTCCATCTGAGGCTGAAAATGAGAGCGCTGATCATCTTCCTCCTCCTGACCACAAGCTTCTTTCAAATCTCACAATCTGTGCAGGTTACGGTAAGTCAGAATTGGTCCATTCACACAAACTCTTTTCACTTTGTGAGGCTGGATTGAATTGGGAGTTTGTTTGGGGAAAGGTATTACTAGCTTGATTGTGGAACTGCAATCTCAAAGCGTTTCTGAATTTGAGAAATATGTGCGCTTTTTTATGTTTCCTTCTGTGCTACAGATAACATTAGGGTACCTTTCAGAATCTTGACAAATACGGTACTGAAAAAACTGAAACAAATTTCACTAAAATTGCTAGTTTTTAGAAAAACTGAAATAGTATTGTCACGTAAAACATACTCCAATAACACAGTGAAACAAAGTTTTGTTTCCATTTTATTTTAATGTTTCTTTATGAAGCTAAATATGAAAATCACAAAAAAAAAACAAAAAAAAGTATGTTGACAACTTACAAACTAGTTTTTTATTACTCGTGCATTAAAATTACATGGTACATGCATATTGAGCTACCAACTGTTGAATATACTTTTTTATGTTTCCTTCTGTGCTTCTGTGCTACAGATAACATTAGGGTACCTTTCAGAATCTTGACAAATACGGTACTGAAAAAACTGAAACAAATTTCACTAAAATTGCTAGTTTTTAGAAAAACTGAAATAGTATTGTCACGTAAAACATACTCCAATAACACAGTGAAACAAAGTTTTGTTTCCATTTTATTTTAATGTTTCTTTATGAAGCTAAATATGAAAATCACAAAAAAAAAACAAAAAAAAGTATGTTGACAACTTACAAACTAGTTTTTTATTACTCGTGCATTAAAATTACATGGTACATGCATATTGAGCTACCAACTGTTGAATATAAAAACTTCCAAGAGTCGTCCAAAACTAATAATAATTTGCACCACAGAATTACAAAACATCCATCAAAAATGTAAGTGAAACAAAATGTGTTACATTGTGTAATCTTTGGTTAATTAAAATGTTTGAGGATCATTTTTTGCTGTTTTTACTTTATCATATCCTAAATAATTAAATTGTGTGTGAGCGGGTGAATCTGACAAAAACATTAAGCACATTCATTTCCCAACCAAATTCTCATCACCACAATGTGTCCAGAAATGTTTAGTTAGCCGGGAATTACAAAATAAAATAAAATAAAGATAATAACTAGTAAATAGCTATCATTTCTTATTTTTATCATTGGTTTTGGGGCCAATAAAATAAATATGACCCAGATACGTTCTTGACAGGTTAGATTCATCACCTTAGATAATTAAGCTTACTATGACAAGGTCGTTATTATTATTTTTTCAATGTTCAGAGTACATTTGGAAAATTTCTCTGTGGATATCAATTGAACTTGACATTGATGGAAAATTATTTAATGTTCCTCTCTTCAACTATTTACAAATAGCTGAATGTGGTTAGGTGTATAATTCAGATTCAGACTTTCAATATCAGTCCATTTAAATGGTGGCTAATAGAAGCTCTTCACTCTCAGTACTCCCCTTTAAAAGAGACCCTGGCTATCTACAAAGCAATCATCATAGGAGATCTGCATCCAAATATTTGTCAGTTTAATTGTGTAGTAAAAACAAAGTCTCTCTTTTTATGACTGGTTTATAGCAGACCCATGTAGGAAAAAAACTCCTTCGTAGAGTGGAGTAATAATTCACTTATTGGCTTCTTATTGGATGTCTGTTTTGTAGGACAGTGGGTACAGTTTCTCCCTGGAGGCAGTGAAGACCCTGCAAAAGCTTATGGAGACTGACATGAGTACAAACCCGCTACAGACCTACGGCGACACAGCGTCCCTTTGTGCCGACCCTGACCTGCCAGGAGAGTCAAGGGTGCTGTGCGAAAAAGATGATGCTGACGTCTTCCAACGTCTGGGTTGGTATGCTTGAAGTGGCTTGAAACATTAACATAATACAATATATATATTATATTTTTTTTTTAAGGAAATTAATTGTTTTGCTTAACAGTGGTGCATTAAATTGATCAAATGTGACAGTATAGACATTTAGAATGTTAGAAATGATTCCTTTTTTTTCAAATAAATGCTGATTTTTTTTTTACTTTCTATTCATCAAAGAATTCTGGAAAAAATGTATCTCGGTTTCCACATCAGCATATCAGAATGATTTCTGAAGAATCATGTGACTCAATGCTGCGGTTACAGCATCTACCAGCAGGTGGTAACTAGCCCATGCTAAGATGATGCTGACGTCTTCCAACGTCTGGGTTGGTGTGCTTGAAGTGGCTTGAAACATTAACATAATACAATATATGTATTATATTTTTTTTTTAAGGAAATTAATTGTTTTGCTTAACAGTGGTGCATTAAATTGATCAAATGTGACAGTATAGACATTTAGAATGTTAGAAATTATTCCTTTTTTTTTCAAATAAATGCTGATTTTTTTTACTTTCTATTCATCAAAGAATTCTGGAAAAAATGTATCTCGGTTTCCACATCAGCATATCAGAATGATTTCTGAAGAATCATGTGACTCAATGCTGCGGTTACAGCATCTACCAGCAGGTGGTAACTAGCCCATGCTAACCTGCAAAACCATAAGTGAACGCTTAGAATTGTGTTCCTCTCGTCAGTGATTTGTCATAGACAAGTATGACGCACACAGTGCATAATTAATGCATTAAAACTACTTTTATGATGCTTTATACATAAAGACTTATACATAAAGTAAAGTGTTACCGAATTATTTTCTGGAAAGTATTCTGGATTAAGTGGAATAGTTGTTTATTTAAGGTGTATTATAGCCCTTTGAATTTAGCATATATTAAAATGACAGTCATCTTTCAAAACCGACTGTCTAAAATTGTATCTGCTTAGTAAACATTTTAACAGTTGTAACAATGTTAATAAAAGATTTGAATAATAAAAAATGAACATTAAACTTTTAATAATATGTCCTATGTTAATTTCATTTCAACAGTGATCAATCTAAAGTTTATAATAATAATAATAATAATCATCATCATCATCATCATCATCAGACAGAATGTATTTACCGTTCTCTTACACTAGAGGTCAGCACTGCCCTAAATAATGATTTGCTCTTTTATTGCTGTCCAGCTCTATGCAGGTGTTCCATGGTGTTACTATGGGAATTTTAGGTGCATTTCCTTCGGCCAAGTACTTTTTTTGCATGTAGCAACTAAATATATCAAGCTGTAGGTTATGAACACATTATACTTGGCTGGACAGAAATGCTTCAGCTATTTAGTAATGTTAGCTAAATGTGTACTTGAAGAACAGATGTACTGTATTTGTTTTCACATCTCATGATCTCGGTGTTTATTGAAACACATTTGCATAAACAGCCTGCCCCAAACAATTCATAATGCACTAATAAGAAACATGTGCTCGAAAACACATTTCACTTGTGAAGAATAAACATGTGTTTGTTCAAAGTTTTGTATGACTAAATGTATTAACTATGAGTGTATTGACAACTCATAATCTGTGCCGTTTACAGCTCAGTTGATCAGATCAACAGAATCAAGCATGTTTCCTGTCCAAAAGCATCAAGCATCAAGCCTTTTTTCCCCCTTTACAAGCACAAAACGAGTGTGAATCAGGCAATCCCACATAGAATACTAACAGCTATAAAGTGTTGTTCTGAGAGCCAGTTATGTAAGAATATCAAAGTGGTGTTTGCACAGGGAGCAGAGACCAGCCTGTTTGTATTTGATTGCAACATTTTTTGATTTGGTTTCCATATTCAACAGATCTCTTCCTCTGTGATCACAAAGGAGAATCTGTGCAATCCTTGTCCATAATCAGAGGCTTTTTCAGAGAGCGAAAAAAGGTTTACTGAATGGAAACCATTCAGAAATTCAGAGTTTCCATTCATAAATTACTAGCGAATAATAATAAAGAAACAGCAATTAACATGAATTAATCGTTACGTTTTCAAGTAAAACACTAAAATAGTATTTTCTTGTAAAATGTACTCCATTACTCTTTGAAAAAATTATTATCTACAATGTCGAGATGTTATCTTAGATAAATGTACAGAGGGGGTTCCTGGATGAGAAGTTTCTTAAGGATATCCAATGTCCAAATACACAAGGATGTACCGTAACCCAACCATCTCAGTGGGTGGCGTATTCTGAAAAGGGTCTTTTAAACTGTTGCTTAAGCTTGACCTGCTGTGATCTTGGAATAATTTAACCCAGAACAACATACGCATATAAACAAGCCAAGCAGATTAACTTTAATGGCAAAATAATAAATAAATAAAATGAAACAAAGTCCTGCAGCGGGTAGGCTGTGATAACATGCAGTTGCTTAAAACTGACAACTGAATCCCAAGAAATCATATACTTGTGCTCGTCCTGATCCACACACTTCTGATATGTTTGACTAAATGACATTGGACATGGGCATGCTGATGGTGACAGCTGAGTAGGGAAAATGTCCTGGGCATTACTGAAACCCTGGGGGGTGTTGACAGATGGAGACTGTGTTTAGGCTTCTGTTATTTCTGTTGCTGTTACTCGTTTATTCTCATCTGCTTTTGCTGTGCTGTCTTTGCCACGTTGTATTGGTTTAGTCCTTCATATTGAACTTTTTGTGTGAGGAGATTTTTTTTACTGCTGTTTAGTAGATTGATGTATTCATCCCCTCCCACGCAAACCCTTCAGTATATTTTTTTAGATGAAATGGGTAACACTATTACGCGTTTGAAAAAGGTGCCAGTGTTTTTAGTTTTTTTCATCTTTTCTCATCTGGCCCACATATGGTGAAATCTCATTGGTTCTAACATTCCGCTCACATAGCGGTACCAGAGATGTTTTATTATTTGGAGATACCAGGGTCCATGTCTCTGCCATTTGGAGAAGCGTAATGGCCAACTTGGATCACATGTGCTTTGATAACCAGGCACCTTAAAGTTTAAAAGTAAGAAATAAAAGCTAAATCTGTTATTATTATTATATTAAATAAAATTATATATCTATGTTTCTATCTGTGCTCACTGTAGTATAGTTTAATTCAGTATATTCACTGTATACAGTCTGTTGTGTTGCGTTTATCTGTGTTGTGTTGTGTTGTTTTGTGTTTGTGTGACAGTGTAGCACAAACTGTTATAGGCTATTGCTGAACCGAATTGACCCTTATTTTCTGCCAGGCCTACTCTTTGTAAATATCAAACGGGGGGGAAAAGTGGCAAGATTCTATTAATGTGCCTGCTGAGGAAAGAACATAATGTATAAACAGCTATTTGAACAAGTTACAGAGTTTGTCCTCCAAAATATTACAGTCTAGTCTACATACTGAACAACATTCAACAACATTCCAGACACTAAATGGCTACACGAAACACAGAAGCTGCTCACATTGTGACAACCCATTTCCTATGTGGATAGAGGAACCCTCACCCAGCCTAAACTAAAGCTTTGTTTGACTGGCTGTTGGAAGGTTGACGGGAACCTACGGCATTCTGATTACTGTCCAAAATAAATATAAGGGGGGACATTGTTTGTTTGGAAGGACTGTGTTTCTTTTTTAAGCTTTAAAAATGTATCTTTGAATCGTCTGGGCTTGGGCTTTCAGAAATTAGTGCGAAGTATAGCAATTCCACCCAGGGTCCCTGGCAGTAAGCTGCCGGTTGGGTAGCTCTCTGGAGTTCCACTTATAATCCCATTTCATGGGCAGATGGAAGAGTATGGTAGTGGAGAGGGGATTAGAGACTGTTAATTATCGACCTGATTTACCGAGGGACTATTTGAAGGCATATGCCATAGCCGGGCATATAGAGTCACTGAGAGAGAATGTCCTTGGATTGTCTGAGGCATCTGATGAAAGACATTTCGAGGTTAAGCAAGGATTTCATCAAAATTGTTCTTGGTCTGAATTTACTGACTGATGATGAGAATGAAGGTGGAGGTTGTATGAAGTGGTTCTGAATCATCACACTTCAGTTTCATTTGGTCCTCATATGCACTGACCTCTCAGTAACCTCCTGGTAGCTATAGGTTTGTATAGTTTGTCATCAGCACTTACTTCATAATGTTAAAGGGATAGTCCCCCCAAAAACAAAAATGCTGTAATCATTTACTCACCCACGTGTTGTTCCAAACATGTATGACTTGTTTGATCCAGGGTTATTTGAATCCTAATGTTTCTCAAAATATCTTAAGTCTCATTGCAAAAACATGTCTATGGTGACATTTCTGCTAAATGTCCAGTGTGTGATGCTAAAAGCGTGTTCAGTTTTATCCGAAACAGGCGAACATGAATCTGGGCTTTTATTGCTATTATGGGGAGGCTGCAGACCTGGAGCAGGCAGATCTATATGGCCCAGACAGTTTCATGGCCCAGGCAGATTTACGCCCCTGTTGTTCCTGATGCATCCAGTAGGGGAAGGAGGATATACTGCGAAATGTTTAAACCGACACTCGAAACTTCATTAATAACCGTCCCGTCCATAAACATTGACTAATTGAGAGTTTAGTTGTTGTTTTTGTGTGTGTGAATTTAAATATAATCATTACATTAAGATATCAGATGATCTGCACTACGGATTAAAATATCTGTAAATATTCACTGTTGGTCTACATACATAGCCTACAGGAGACAACTGATTTTTTCAGCATGACACATTTAATTAGTGAATAAAAAAATTTATAATACACATATTTGGATCAAATGAACAATGATACATGATCTACTGTAGCCTAATTATATTCACTGTACGTGAATGCTTGGAAAAAGTGTAAAGCCACTTTGAATTATTTTGGCCTCTGCCTTGCCTTTCAAAAAAAAAAAAAACATTTTAATTTGCTGACCCCCCAACACAACTACTCTAGTTAGTGACAAATGACAATAAACAGGCAGATTCATCATTAAAATGTTTTAAATTCATTTAAATTGTTTAAATGTAGGTTATCAAGAATAGAAATGTGAATATTGCCATGTGGGAGTTTTACTGAGTTGATTATGAAAACAATGACAAGGCATGATTGATTGATGCCTTATGACTATGCTGATGATTTATTGCATTTTTCATCTGTGCGGTGTTTCCTCAGTTTGGTCAGTTATTTCCACTGGCAAGGAACCCTTCAAGAATGAAACAAACTGAGATGTTCAGAAACTAGTACACATACCCCTCTGTCTCAAACTGCTCAATAAGACGTAGACACCACCACTCCCTGATTGCAGGAATGTCAAGCTAACAGAAATTGAAATGTTACAGGATTAGTATTAAGATCATTTTGGTAGAACTCAATGACCAGCAATAGAGTACTTGATACTTTAAACTTTATAGCAACCTTTTAATGAAGAAAATAGAAAAGCTAACCTGAGGGAAATTTAATGGAGTGTTCAGCACGATGTAGAGGGAATACTGTTGATGTTATATGCAACATGGCAATCGTTTCTTAGCTGTGAACCAAAAGATATCTCTGTGCTGGTCATCTCTAAAAAAGGCTTTGATTACTATTCAGGGAGACTAGATGGAGTGTCTTCAGAGTGACTTTAGTACCTATAGGGATGCATAAGCAATGGTTATGGCCAGGGAGTATACATTTTTTTTATGACAATCCATTTCACATTTGCATTATTTTTGCCTTATGATATTGGGGTAAAATTACCCTCCGTAAAACCAGCATAAAAGAACAATCCAACCCAGGTTGGAACAATCCCTCCAAACCACAAAGTTTAATAATTACTATATTCATATGAGCTACACCATGTAAAATCTTACACATAACAGATAATGATCTGGGCCGATTGTTGTAAATAATGGTGCAAGTTGAGAAAATGTCCGGTGAGTGGTGATAAAAGGTTAACGCTCTACTGAGTTTAAAATGCACTAAACCTAACTGACAGTGTTAACAAAAGCAGATCAGAAATAAAAGCACATTCACTGAAGCAAGCATGCTATTTTAGCTTGCTTCTACATGTCTGAGCTCTTTTAATGTTTATCGGGACACATACCCAAGCACTGTGCATCACAAATGCAGTGCTGTACCAGGTGAGCTACCAAGAAAGTTTATTATATAAGAAAGGCACATGGTGCTGGTTAAGCAATGCAAACGTCAAAATGCATTAGTTTACAAATTATACATTATGATAAAAGTGTTTTGAGTTCATAACATAGTATTTTGCAAGGAACCGTGTGAAAATAAGCCTCTTTAATTAAATTAAAAAAAAATTAATTAAATTAAAAAAGGAGTAAAAGTTGTTTCCATTATAATGCCTCTAGTATTCACTTGCAGAAAAACTGCAGTGAATTGCATATTGTACTAGTTAATTCATGCGAATACATTAACATTGCACTGAAATTTCATAATGACTGAACAGTAACAAGAAGAGTAACCTAATGCTCTTGGACAAAGATACTATAATGAAGTCTGGCCTAATGTCCTCCTCAATTGGGTACATTATCCTGTGTAGCAGTCATTCAGTGGGCATCATTCAGGTTCACCAGCCAGGTTAATTGGATGTTGGATGCAATTGGACGCAACAAAGACAGTCAACATTAATCAGAGAGGCTGTTTGTCATGCATTCACGATAACTGTCAACTGATGAAAAACAGTATTTACGTCAGGCATCATTGTTGTTTAAGGAATGTTGTGATGCAGAGATGATGCAAACCCGGACTCTGCAACAGGCACTTTGAGAGATTTTGATCTGGTTTTATGTGTCAGCCTTCCAGATGAGTATTTTATATCATAAATGAGAAATGTCTCATCTGCTCCACCTAATCATGTCAACATTTGTGCGTACAAGACAGAGCATTGATCTACACCACCCGCAGCCATTCACTTATCAGGAACCTTCCATCTTCATAATAATATTTTATGCTGTAGATAAATGCAATTTAATAAGAAGATCATATTTTAAATGTCATGTCTTCCCTCGCCCAAATGGTTCCAAACTTGTACATTGAGCTTGCAGTTCAAATTTATAAATGTGACAGAATTCTTGGCTTTGATATATGACCAAAAATGTAATGATCATGTATTGTCACAAACACAAAAATTATTCTTTGTTAATGAGTTAACTGTGTAGGACTAGTTGTTGTAACAAAAAAAAACTGATCTGCCTTGGATGTTATATGATCTTTTGGCCACACTTTGTAATGTAACGTCCAAGCCCCCAGGTTCTTTTTGTATAATTTGGTAAGGAGAGAAAGACTTCGCACCATTTCATATAGCATTTGGGGGGATGGTAGTCTGCTTCAGTCTCAGTGGAGTGAGTGCTTGCAGCTGTTATGGGCTTACACTGAAGGCTGAGAGAACGATGCTTGTGTAAATACAGAGTAGACTCAGTCTTCATCCTGACTTCTGACTGTTGCTATGAGTCATGACACTTTTCATGAGTATGTGGTAACTAATATTATACAGAGTGGGCTTTTTGAAGGGCTAAGTTAAACAGAAATAATTCAGCAGATCTACATCCCATTCTGACTGGAGAGGACAGGTGGAAACAGTGAAAACAGATTTATTATGAGTCAAAATAACCACAATGAAGCAATGCAAATGAATGCAATATGGACCTATTTTAAGTATAAAAACCTTATAACGCAATAGTTATATTATATTATATTATATTATAGCTCTATAAATAGCTATATATTTACAGCTTGTCTGTAAATCAATATATAATAACATACAGGTAGTTTATATTATATTATGTTAATACAGAGACAGGCTGTCAGTCCTAACCCTAATTGTAAAAAAAAAAAATCAAGATGAACCTATCATTCCTGGTTCATCCTGAATGAATCAGCATTTTTGAATGAAACTCTTTTTATGTCACTTGTAGCCACCTGCTGGCGTTAGGATGTAATGGATCCAATCTTTATTTGGAGCATCACTTTAAAAACGGTGATGATCTATTTTCATTTTTATCTCTGCCATAGACAACAGTGTTATATCCAAACTATATAGGCCCAGGCCCGGCGTCAAGGCGATGATCTCAAGCCCCCCCTCCCAAGCCTGGCAGAAGAGAACCTAAAAACGTAATTAAACAAGTACAATGTGACATAAAATGTGATGTGTAATTTCGATAAAAACAAAACGTTACTAATTTTAAATTGAATCGAGTTTTAATCATACCATAACCACTAAAAAAATATCAGGCAAAAATCTGACATGACCGTCAGACTGGTGGTAGGCGGAGATTTGTCTCCTAGTAACGCTAGCCTATCAGGGAGCTTCTTACAATTGTGTGATTCATCAATGATGGCTAGATAGATTACCATAAGACAGTATAAAAATGGATTTACGAAAATATATGATAAATCGGTCCCATAGGTTGCCAAATGCGACCATGCAATTGCAAGCATCCAACAGCAATGCAGTAGACACACCAGTCGACAAGACACCAACACCGATTGATCCTCTGCCCTCGTGCTCCAGCTCATGCATGCCTGGACCGCCAAGAGTGCCTTTCAACCTTGGTGAGGATAAACCGAATCAGGTTAAGTTAAGACGTTATCCTCTTCGCCTTTGCTACAACCAGCATCGATCATTTGTTGTGTCGTGGTATACATCACGGGAGTGGTTGGAATACTCCGTGGAAGCAGATGCTGCATTTTGTTTTCCATGCAGGAAATACTTAATTTCTCCATCTGACTCAGCTTTCACTGTAAGGGGCTTCAGTGATTAGAAACACGCTGTAGAGGCAGGAAAAGGCCTTAACAAACATGCAGCGTCAAAAGAACACATTACAAGCATGGCACTCTGGAAAGACAGAGAAAAACGGGCTGAAAGTGGACTTGAAATTTCCACTATGGTTAACAGTAACCAATTAGCTAGGAATCGCTACTACCTCTCCTCTGTAGTGGACATGATTGAATTTCTTGTTGTGAATCATTTGCCGCTAAGGGGAAGCACAGATGCTTTTGATTGTCTAACAGAGGATGGAAGTGGACTTTTCCTTTCATTATTCGAATATACCCTCCGAAAAGACCCAGAGTTAAGGAGTGTTATGAAGACAATACCACGCAATGCAACGTACAGTTCTCATGAAATTCAAAATGACTTCATTGCAAACATGAGCAGTCTGGTGACTGAAGAAATAGTTTGAGAAGTTGCAGACTCGTGGTACACAATCAAAGTAGATGACACACGTGACCCAACTGGAATGGAAAATATTTCCATAATCGTTTGCTTTGTTAAGGACAGTTATCAATTCACAGAGCGATTTCTTTCCATGACAACAACTGAAAAAGGGGATGCCCAGACCCTGACCAACACAATAATTACAGAGCTTGAAAAGAATGGGCTCAGTACTTCTAAAATGCTCCAGGAGCATCATACCACGCTTGAAGCTATCCCTAGTGTACACGCTGCAATGAAATGTGCGCTGACATTTGGAGCTTCTACAGCTACATGCGAAAACTCATTTTCTACTCTGAAAAATGTGTTCACGGACAAACGAAGGAGCATGCTACATCAGCGAAAGGCCCATTTAGTGCAACTGGCATTTGAAAGAGACTTGACAAGAAAATTTCGGGATGAATGGAAAGATACTCTACTGAGAAGGTTCAACGAGAGTAAGTGCCACAGACTCCAGCTGTTCTAGCAGGTTGGTGTTATTTTATTTATTATAGAATGCGTAATTTGTTTATAACGTTATCTTATTTTAATCGTGACTTTAAAAAAAAATGTTTGCGTAAAGTTTGAAGCAGTTCTGATGTGCATCGGGCCAGTGCAAAATCATAATACATTTTTCTTCTTTGCGAATAGTGACGATGATTAGTAATACTAATCACTTTTTTTATAGGCTAAATTAAATGATATCGATACCAAACGCCCACTGACACTCACGCTATGTGCCCCCCCGGGCAGAAGGGATAGCCCCCCCTGTTAAAATGTTCTGGCGCCGGGACTGTATAGGCCTACTTTTATCCCAGTACTTCTGTGATTATTTGAATGTTTGTAACAGAAATAGCGATACAAAAAAGTTTGTGAAGCTGTTTCATACCTACAACTACTGCTCTCTTTGGGTCAGCGGCAGCGCGAACGCAGATTAGAATTGTTTAACTTTATGCAAGTGAACAGCAAATTTCGTGAGCGACAACCAATAGAAGTGAAGAATCTGTCAGTGGAGATGAGTGTGATACTTCGCGTTAGGCTGCTGATAAACCTGTCGGACTTTACACTGTGATAACAACTGGGTGGAGGTAGGCCTATATTATCCTGCGGTTCCTACATTACATAGTTCCTTGCCACAGTTGAGGTCAAAAGTTTACATCCCCCTTTCAGAATCTACCAAATTAGAGGGATCATACAAAATGAATGTTATTGTTTATTTAGTACTGACCTGAATAAGATATTTCACATAAAAGATGTTTGCATATAGTCTACAAGAGAAAATAATAGTTACATTTATAAAAATAGCCCCGTTCAAAAGTTTACATTCTTAATATGTGTGCTTACATAAATTATCCACATCTGTGTTTTTTTTGTTTGTTTGTTTAGTGATAGTTGTTCATGAGTCCCTTTGTCCTGAACAGTTAAACTGCCTGCTGTTCTTCAGAAAAAAATCCTTCAGGTCCCACAAATTATTTGGTTTTCTAGAATTTTTGTCTATTTGAAGCCTTTCCAAAAATGACTGTATGATTTAGAGATCCATCGTTTCACTCTGAGGACAAATGAGGGACTCATATAGACATAATAAATACCTAGACGCCTCATTGGCCGCTTTGAGCCGTTGCTGCGATATGTCAACGCGTCCGCCATGTTTGTGAAGGCAAGACTGCCTTAAAAATAAATGGAGGTAAACGGGGGAGCTGCGTTTTTTTCTGGATAAAAACACGATAACGTTTACATTTATCAACCGATTTCAGAGGTTTGTGATCTACATGGAGTTAACTAAATAACTCTGCCTCCAGTTATTTAGTTAGGTTTGGAAAATTATACATTTTCATAAGAAATTGTGAAAACTCACACTTGTCTCACTTGTTGATTTGATTGATTTTTTCGGTTTACAATTCTAATGTTAATGTAGCATAACTGTGACATATACCTGTACATGTTTTGTAATTTGAATGTACATTAAATGAAATTAAGTTACATATTGTGCTCATAACACAATTTACTTTATGATATAAACTACAACATAAAGTTAAAACTTAAGAATTAATTTAAACTTTGATTTTATATAAAGTCTCAGCTTTCACAGCTTACTAATGATATCGCTAGCTATTAAAAGTCTGACACTGGTGGCTAATTAAGCTGTCAACATAAAGCTAAAAATGACCAAACAACTGTTCAGTCTTACCTGTGAAAGATAATACCCCGAGATCTGTTTTTATTATTGTGTATTATTTGTAGATGCCCAAGCTGCCGACGAGTCAGGTATGTTTTCACCTGTCCCGATATGAGAGTTGCCTTCACCAATATGGCAGCGATGTTGACGTGCGGTCGAGCGGCCAATGGGGCGTCTAGGTATTTATTATGTCTATGCCCCTGCTCATATGCAACTATTACAGAAGGTTCAAATGCTCACTGATGCTCCAGATGGAATAACTATGCATTAAGAGCTTGGGGGTGAAAACATTCAAATATTAAATGACCTTGAACTTTTGCGAATCGTTTCAGCTCTCTGACTTGTTAACGAATCCTAATTAATGTCATTAACATATAAAAGATCACCAGTCATCGTCCAAATCCTTTTATTTAGAACAGTGAGCTGCAACAACAGCTTACATTTCCAAAAACCTGCAGTACTCCGACAAGAAAAAGTATGTACTTCTGCTCAGACCCTGACATGATGCTAAGCACTTTTCCACGTCAAAGGCAGTTTTTACAGATATGAGTGTTGACGTGGATTTAAGCGTAGACCTACGCACACTCTAAAATCAAATCTGAGCGATGCATGCTTTATAAATGAGGCCCCAGATCTAAATATTATGGTCACTACAAACAATACAATGATGTCTTAGTCTAAACCAAAGATTTCACTCTGACGTAATTTGTGTTTAGTTTTTATTTCCCAGAACTGTCTACTGCATGTAAAATGTTTGTAAAAGAATTAAATGAATGTCCTGTATAAGTCTCAGTGGAACTGTTACTGTTACTGGAGAACTGTGGGAGAGACTAATGAACGTATATACCCCACTCTGTTTTTGAACATTTGTTTTCAGTCACGCCAGGGTGCTGTAGAGTGTCTGGTGGTCCTTTTACTGCAAACCCTGGTTCCTTTTAGTCTCTTTTGCTGTCTTTTTATCTCTCCCTTGATTTTATCAGTCTGCATGTAACCTGTTTTTACTATTAATCCCTTCCTTTGTCTCTGATGAACATAATTTAATTGAGTTGTCTCATCCAAAACAAATCATCTCACTTAACCCCTTATTGGGCACATCCAGACATTCCCATAAAAATAGGTGAAAGTAAAAAAGACATGCTCATCTGTTTAATGATGCAGAACTGAAAAATTATCAATTCTAATAATGTTATTGTTATTGTTTTACTTTTTTTAAATAATAAAAAATTAATAATCTAACATAGTCTGTTTAGTACACAATAAAAAATAGCAAATCCGCTAATTTAACTAGCAAATTTAAAAACAAATCAAAATTATTTAAACATAATATCATGGCTCAAAATGTGATCTACCAAATGGCTGAGATGACTGTTAAAGGGTTAAAAGAGAGGGATTGAGAAAGAGATGGCTAAATATTTTCAAACAAAGACCTCAATGCATTCCTTGTGTTTGAGCATTCATAATTCACAAGCTAAAAAACAGAGAAAAATGTGCAATAAACACTGAAATACAAACCAAAAAGTCTTTCTCTTAATGGCAAATGTTAACTTGTTACACAAACAATTTACATAGTATGCCAATGGCAAACAGCTGTACTGTAATTTTCCACTGCTCTGTTTGATTGTCACAAATGCAAGTTCTACCAGCACAGGAAACTTTAACAAAGGACAATGAATGTTCAGTAAACACTGACAGTGTTTGACCCTGGCTCTGTCTGACGAAACTCAAGATGTATTTCACGCTAAATCAAATAACAGTAAAACCAAAACTTCCAGTCTGAAGTACGGATTTACTCGCACATCTTTCAAAAGTCATGACCATTATGAGCTGGAGGCTTTTGGTGCAAAAGCAAGAAGAGGCCATGAAGGATCAGGGTTTGGGGATAATAGGTTTTGGGAGGAACAGAAAACAGAATATACTGTCTTGGAGTCTAAACTGGGACAGGAAATCCAATCTTGGTGTAAAAACTGTAATGGTCAAAGATGTCATTTCTCTGCAAATAAAGTGTTATTTCAGCGTTAACACTGAATGCAAACTGTGCTTGTAAATAGAAACATTCAGTGGTTGCATAATTGTGCAAAAATGTAAACACGCATGGTTGAATATATTTATCAAAGAAAAAGTTTCCAGCTCAGCCCCATCAGTATGTACCTGAAAAATGATGTATTACATAAACCGACAAACCCAAATAAATAAAGCAGCCTTTTAATTGCATTTTCTTAAGAAAAAATCCTCTCAATGTGGTGTCTTTAGAATGAGCTGAACTGGACAGCTGAATTAATTTGATGTCTTTTCATCTGTAGACTCATTTGTGGCTATTTCTTCTCATTATTCTCATTATGCAGGGCTCCTATAAAGAACAAACCAAAGCAATATGTGGGGGAGGCCAAGCAGAACTTTTCCGCTCCTCAATTAATTTAAAGACTGAGGTAAAAATCGCCCCCGAGGCTTTGCAGAAAGTCGGAATTTGTTATTCTGCCTGTATAAAAGAAAATGATGTGAGTGAGAATGGATGATATTCAATGCCAAAGGCTCTTGGATATCATACAAAATAGTCTTAAAGCCTTTTCACGAAAATGTTCCAGTGTACAGTCATTATTCGAGGGATTTACTTACTGCAATGACCTCAACCTTTTCTGGAGAACAGTTTTGTAATATCTGAAGTAAGTGTGTTCGCACATGTTTGACAGTCATGGACATGTTATTGGACTGCATCTTGCAGTAGTTGCAGAGGATTATGTTCTGGTTTGTGTTGATGTGTTGAACAAACCCATATCATCAGTCAGTCACATTTCGCAAATCCAGGGCTTAATTTATGTTGGGACAAGCCGGATGTTTTTATGATTTATGTTTTTAGTTTTGTGTTTGTTTAATGAAAAAGTTATATAAAAGTTTTTTTAAAAACTATCTACACACACACGCACACACATATGTATTATTGATTATAAAAATGATCAAGTATTATAAATTCATTATGTATTATTATTGTTATTGTTATTATTATTGTTGTTGTTATTAATAATGCAATTATTAGATTAATAATAATGTTTTTTATTTAATGTTTTTTTGAATATATGCTCATGTGTTCCATCCACTTTTACTTTTTATTGTCCACTTTTCTAAATTTGCTTTTGGGTGAGGACAAAGATATTAGAAAATGGAAAAAAGCTTACACTGTATATATTTGGCTTATAAGTTATGGGGAAACTCACAACCGGTGTATACAGTACTAATGCTTTGTCAATGCACCTAAAAGCCCTTTTTCTAATAAATGTGTTTCATGACCTCTCAGCTCAACCACAAACCTGCTGGATCCGACACCACTCCTTGTACCAGGACATCAGCTAAAACAATCAAAAATGGACTAAATCACCTGTTGGCAGTATATTACGTAAGTTTCTCTGATGTATGCACACAAAATTAATATGTTTGGTTGCTAAGCCACAATAAAGCTCACATTTAATCAAATATGTTGACTGATCTAAAAATAGTAGATGCATTGTTCTAAATGTATTGTCACTTTATGATTGCTTCTGAAGGCTGTGTGTGCTTGTTTTGTTTAAGTCTTGTGTAAGAGGTCAGGGTGAGAGAGCGATAGGGGAAGGATATGAGTTTGGAAAAAGGGAGCATTACTATCTTGTTGCAGCCTCAGCGCTCCCTTTATGAGGGCAGTCAGAGGCTGTCAGCTTGGCCCTGATCTCTGGGTTGGATCTGAAAGAGCAAGAGTCCATCCAAAGCCCCTTCCCCTCCATTATTCAGCCCGGTTACGCATGCCTTATGCCAGGCCTTTCAAGAAGACCAATAACGAGATCAGCTCTGCAGAGGACACGGTCTTTCACACTGGATCCTTTTAGAAGAGGAGGATAGAGAGAAGAAGGATGCATTAAAAATGAGCATAGGAGAGAGGAAACGAGAGGCAGATAAAGTTGCGATGGTGCCACGTGCTTGCCAGTTGTCAGACAGTGCCCTCATTCCCGGCTCTCACAGATAAAGACTTCCTCTGATGGATTCTCTTTGTCAATCACAGCAGCTCCAAAGAGGCTTTAAAGATATGATCAAATTCTCTTCAGGGTCATCTGTAACTGGCACTATCCTGCGAATATTGTACACTTTGGTGTCTTGCGCCTTTAAAAAAAAAAAAAGAATTAGGCAAAATCCCATATGTTCTGTTTTGAGAACAGTTAGATATGATCATTATCTAACAAAATGAACCCAGTATATACAGTACATCAACATTTGGTCCCAAATGAGCTACCAAACCTCTCAATATTTAGCCTAAAGCTTAACTGTTCCCAGTATTTGGCATAGTTTTTATAACAATGTTTTGTTTTTTGGGGGGGTTGGTTGGTTTTAAACTGTAGCCTATTTGATGTGTCACTAATGTTTGTAATCTGGATTAAAAATTGCAAAATAATGCATATGACCCCCCTGAGGTTTATATCAAGGTTAAACACCTTTTTCACTAAACATTTGTTGACAAAAACAATGATCATGGCATGGTGGCGGACATGGGCCATGCAGCGGAAGCATGTCTGGATCATGGCATAGTTGCAGGCCTGAACTGTGCTTGTTGAGGACGACCTAGACCGTGAAGCAGATGACAAGACCATAAAGGATCAGGTGGCCATGGTGAAGATGGAGACCACTCAGATAGAAACTATGGAACAGTACATCATGGCACTATAGAAGACCACAGCAACAAAGCGATAGACCACCATGGCAAAGCAGAAACATGGAGCACCTTCCTGGGTGTAACTGAGCAGGCTTGGGTGGCCTCCGGGGCCATGACTAAGCAGGTGTTGACAACCTGTGTGGCCATGACAGAGAAAGTGTGGACTGCTTCCGTGGCCATGACTGAGCAGGTGTAGATGGCCTCCGTGACTGTGACTGAGCAGGTATTGACCACCTCCATGGTCGTGACAGAACAGGCGTGACTAAGCAGGTGTGGACAGCCACTAAGGCCATGTCTCAGCAGGTGTGGACAGCCTCTGTAGCTGCGTCAGGGAACACAGGAAGTTCATGGACAGCTTCTGTTGCAGTGACATGGAGCAGGAGATTTCAACCTGTGGGGCGCCAGCACTCATTAAGGGGGCATGAGCATCTGTAAATTCAGAAGCATGCACTCATACAAACATATAAGATTTTGCTACCAAATCATTAGTCCAAATCTTCACTAGAGTGGGGAATTTTAGTAGTCTCCCAGCTAAACTTCATTTGCTATGGTTATGGTAGATTTGGCGCAACTAAGTTTGACCAAAACTCAAGAGAGCAGAGTTGTAGTGGACTCTGCTGCCTCTGGAGAAGTGTGTGCAGCCCCAATGGACAGGTTATCAGTGGTCATTATCAAGAGGACCATGGACTGTGGAATAACCTTCAGGACCAGTGTACTTGTGACCACGAGACTTGGAGCACAAGGACAACGACAGCCATGGCCAGTAGAGTCCGTGGTGAACCAAGCTCAATGGCCTTTAGAGCTTGGGGCATATAGTCCTCCAATGCAGGTCAGTCTCTGGAGCACCGCATAAAGTCAAACACACCATAAACAAATAGGAAACAAATGTCACAGTAGAAATCAGAACTCATCAGACCAGACAACCTTTTTCCAAACTTCATTTGTCCAGTTTTGGTGAGGCAGTGTGAACTGCAGCCTCAGTTTCCTGTTCTGAGCTGACAGGAGTGGCACTCAGTGTGGTCTCCTGCTTCAAGGTTGGATGTGTTGTGCTTTCAGAGATGCTCTTCTGCACACCTCGGTTTATTTGAGTTACTGCTGCCTTTCAATTAGCTTGAATCAGTCTGGCCATTCCCCTTGGAGACATTATTACCACAGAACTGAAATATTTAGTCCCGCCCGTGGCACTAACAAACATGCCTTGTTCAAAGTCACTTAAATCATCTTTGTTCCTTATTCTCATGCTAAGTTTGGACTTCAGCAGATCATCTTCACCTTGTCTACGTGTTACTAAATGAGTTGCAGCCATGCGATTGGCTGATTAGATATTTACAGCTAATAATTTGTATGTCCCACTGAGGTATCTCAGGCTTAAGCAACTTTTTCACTGACCATTTGCTGAAAAAGAAAGAAAAACATTTTCGTCTCAGGCTCTATTCTGTAGTCTGTACCCTGTTCATTAAAATCTCAATTTAGCACAGTGCAGGATACAGCAGCTGCCACACTTCCCCCAATGCTTTATACTTTATCAACACATTTGAAGGCCAGAAGGACACTAGCTGAAATTAACAGCTCTGGCATTTGAATGCCAGGGTAATATAGGCAGATCTAGATTGCGCATATAGAAACCACTAGCCTTGGAGAAGGGGGTGGGAAGCTTTGGCAAATTGTCGTGTAATGCAAAATGGCAACATGATGATAAAGACCACCCGACTGGGACACCGACAGAGGTCAAAGAAGCTAAAAGAAGATGAGTTTGGGACTCATTTCCATAGAGGTGGTCTCTCAGGTGACATCAAATACAAATATCACATTCCCTCATTAAAGCAGCAGGCTGACAGAGAGAGAGTTTGGCTGGTTTGTCACACACTAGGACATAAATGAGAGAATACAATGTGTATAATGAGTTATAATCTCTAAATCACACTGCAGGACAGATTAGTGCAAGCTGGTGGCGCTCACTTGTTTTATAGAAATTTCTCGCAATGCTGCATAATTGTGTGCTTTATGGAAATGCATTTGAGCACAGTGGTCACGACGTGTCATTAAATATCCTTTCCTAAAAGTCTTTAAAATTTGATGACGGTAGCTTTTTTAAGCCATCAGCATAGATCCTCATGTCTAAATGTCAGTGTTTGTCATATTATTTTTCCATATTGCTCACTGAGTTCCATTTACTGTGGCTGAGCTCTGTGCATTTCACTAAAACCACAACAGTAAATGAAAGCCACCTAAAACAAATTGACACATACAAAATGTTCCTCCCCACACGTTTTTTTCTTTATTGTGTTCTTTATTGTTTGCATTTTTTTAATGACTTGCAATGTCTGCTATAATGGAATGTTTGGATTTGGGTACAAGTGAATAGCCAAGGAAAATAAACGGTCATTTACTTTAGATCCATATTTTTGCCATTATTCATGAATTGCCTACATTCATAGAGACTCACAGAAGCTATAAACAAACAACAATTGCACAACTATCATTCAGATTCTGCATTCAATAATGTGAAAACATGGTAGATAAACAGTATTTCAAAAACACACACCACATTTGGTCTGATGTTCAAACAGGTTACAGATACAGTTATGTTGCAGATAAATCAATATAATCTGAATCAAGCATTTCCAAATCAAACATTAATGTACATTTTTACTTTGCATACAAGGGTTGCAAACATGGCTTGACTAGTAAAAGAAAACTGTCCTTCTGGAAAAGTAACAATTAAAATAGTAATGGTTGCTTTAAATTTGTGACTTGCTTTGATGGGAATTTTGAACTGGTCTTCACAGGGGAATGTAATGCACTTAAGGCATTACATGTTAGTGAGGTAGATTGTATTTGATTTCAAATGTAGGAACAAAATAGAAAAATGCTGAGTGAATCCTTATATCCTTATAAGTAGAGTAATTTTTGTGTTAGTCCTGATGATATGTCACAAAATTAGTCTCTAATAAACAAACTGTCTTCTTTGTTTATTTCTCGTCATTTAATTATCGCTTTGTTTATATTTTTTGGGAAAAAATACAAGGTAACTAAAAAGGCCAAGCTCACACTACACAAATTTCAAACTCATTGTCCAAAGCACTCATAATCAGAAAAGCATTGCATTGTAATTATCTTATAAACATACTTTATTTTTTAATTCTCTAGAAATCATCTGCTGCTAATATATATTACCATTCAAAAGTTTGGGGCCAGTAAGTTTTTTTATTTTTTTTATTTTGAAAGCCTCTTTTGATCAGCAAGGCTGCATTTATTCTGCATTTATTTATATAAAAATACATTGAAATCATAATATTGATACATTTTAAAATAACTCTTTCCTGTTTTAATACATAAAATGTAATTTATTCCTGTGATGCAAAGCTGAAGTTTCAGCAGCCATTACTCCAGTCTTCAGTGTCACATGATCCTTCAGAAATCATTCTAATACGCTGATTTGCTGCTCAAGAAACATTTCTTATTTTTTATCAACGTTAAAAACAGCTGTTCTGCTTAATATATGTGTGGAAACCATGATCACAGTTTCAGGATTCTTTAATGAACAGAAAGTCACTTTGTGAACAAAGTTTCTGTCACTTTTAATAAATGAAATGTGTCCTTGCTAAATAAAAGTACCAATTTCTTAAAATAAAAACCTTACTGATCCCAACATTTTGAACAGTAGTGTAGTATCTTTTTACTGATGCATAGCAGATAAAAAACTTCACAAGAGATCAGTGAAAATGCTCATGTGACTTGACAGAAGTCACAAAATCTCAGAGCTAAAATGGTGTAGTGTGAGCTTGTTATACAACAATTGGTTCCGATCCTCTGATTTGCATTCTTTCCACTTGCATTCTCTGTTTCAGACAGACTGTCAATCTGTGAGTTGCCTTGTGACACAGAAAGTGTGAACTTTTGGCATCTTTTGGAAGTATTTTTGCTGGCCAAATTTTTTCTGTTATTTATTATTACTATTATTTATAGAACGACAATATCACACTGACATTTGTGCTGCTGTACTGAATCATAGTAATTCTGCTATTCAGTACTCCAGCAAGAAAAACTTTATTGAAATTTCGTTATTGCAACAAAATCTCAAATTGGCCTCAAGCTCTCCATAATGCCCGCACATTGGTCCCAATGTTAAACAATGCTTTAAAAACTAATCACATGTTATAAAAAATCATAAATTCCACTTGAGAGAACCAGTTAGGATAGTTTCTGATCTAGTCACGATAAGATAAGAGAGGATCCAGAGAAGAGGGGTCAGCACAGAAGCCATTTAACTGAGAGAAGAACGGCCAGCGTAGGGGAGATGTGACTGAGAGAAGGGGAACCGGAGTTTGTATGGCAGTGGTTTTTGTTTTGGCCAATACAAGCTGCGTAGGCCATGACGTGGGGAATGTAATGCTGCTCCTGGACTCCATGAAGAAGATGAGCCAAGGGACCTTTGGAGAATATCGCCACATCTTCACCGCCATGAGTCTCCATGCTCAAGGGAACAGCAGCCTGCGCCTGATAGTTGTTATGCTCTGAAGACAGAAGAAAGTGTGTTAATGTATAATGTATATGTGTTAATATTTATATTGTATTAAAACTAAATATTAAAATAAAATTTAAAAAACACACTACTTTAGTTAAATACAAATATGAATGTTAACAATTACAGTTAAAACAATAGCATGTAGCTTGAATGCATTTCTCCATAATTATCAGAAATAAATTTGTAATTTTAAATTAAAATGTAATTACAATTCATATTAAATTAATATTTATTAAAACAATACTTAATAAATAACAAAGAAACAAAATTGAAAGCAGTGAGCAGTTTCGTGTCTATATTGCTTGTCAATACTAATAACTACAGTTATTTTTTTTTATTTCTTTGTCCTGGGAATGAATGACAGAACAATGTCAGCAGCAGGGATGACAATGCATTTTACTTAATTGTATTTGGATTGTGTTCTATCAGTGAAAACAGCAATTAAAACAGACAAACCTATGCTGTGGAATAGTAATGAGACAAACAGGGAAAGCCAGAGAGAGTGATGGGGAAGAGAATGAGAGAAGAGAGAGACCGAGCCAGAACAATAGCCATAATTCTATGGCTTGTCAAACATATAGAAGAAGCGTAAGAAAGATGGGCGGTGGGATCGGAGAGAGATGCACTTTATCATCATCAACTACTGCTGAGTTTGACATTCAGGGCGCCTACATGCTATAGTTGACAGTGCATCAGAGATTCCATTCAATAAGGACAGTGGGTCACAATGATGTAGTCTTCAACAAATCTCTCCATTAAAACGTATTACACAAAAATCAAATATAAATGTAAATGAACAAACCTTAACCATCACAAACTTTTGAAAGATAAGGTTTCTTAAAGAAATCTCTTATGCTCACCAAGGATGCATTTATTTAATCAAATATACAGTAGAAAACAGTAATATTGTATTGTAAGTACTTCTATTTTAGTATATTTTAAAATGCAATTTAGAGTGTCACACGATCCTTCAGAAATCATTTTAATGTGTTGATTTTGGTGCTCAAGATTTCTTATTATTAGTGTTGAAAACAGCTGCTTAATATGGAAATCATGAAACTATTATAATTCATTATTTGACTAATTTAATTATTTGAAATAGAAATATTTTGTGACATTACAATTGTCTTTACTCTTACTTTTTATCACATTATTGTGTCCTTGCTGAATAAAACTATTTTAAAGGGGTCATGTGATGCATTTTCAAGTTTTCCTTTCTCTTTGGAGTGTTACAAGCTGTTCGTGAATAGATAAGATCTCTAAAGTTGCAAAGACTAAAGTCTCAAACCCAAAGAGATATTCTTTATAAAAGTTATGACTCGTCCACGCCCTCCTAAAATGCCTAGTTTAAACACCCCCCCACATGTCTACGTCACTGTGTGAGAAGATTTGCATAACACCGCCCAAATGTTCACGCAAAGAAAGAAAGCGTAACGTTGATTATTGCTGTAGTAATGTTGCTGCCGCCGCCATGTCGTGGAGACGCGTGTGTGTTTCATTATGAAAGCGAAACTACTTTGTTTGGCCTTCCAAAAGAGGACACAACTAGAAATGAGTGGTTAAGTTGTATTTACAACACTGTTCCAGGACAGTTAAACCCAAATATTCAGATGTTTGCCATGCATTTTACGGAGGACTGTTTCCTGAACCCAAGAGAGTTGTTTCTACAAAGTGGGGCAATTCCAACTTTGCAAGGACAGTCTGGTGCTTCTGACTCACAGACTGTAAGTATGTTTTCATATTTAAAGAATTTGAATGCAAGTTGAGCAGTGTAAAGTAGCGCTTGTTTGTCATTTCTCCTATCACAAATGCAGACATGGTTTTATGTTTATGCGGCGCGATATGCAACGCAACGCGTAAAAAGACAGTATAAATCATTACAATCCGTAATTATGTCCCCACTGGATGCAACAAATGCCTCGTTTGTAATGGGTTTTACTGGTTTGTCTCGTCGCGCCAGGACATGGCATCACATTATGGTAAGTTGCGTAACATTTCCGTCACACGCTTGAGGTATTCGGCCAATCACAATGCACTAGATAGCTGGCCAATCAGAGCACACCTCGCTTTTCAGACCGATGAGCTTTGTAAAAATGTACGTGTTTCAGAAAGGCGGGGCATAGAGGAGAAATAATAATGTACAGTATGTGGAAAATAATGTGTTTTTTGAACCTTAAACCACATAAACACATTGCATTACACAAAATAATGTTCTTTTTAGCTACAAGAATAAATGTCTTCTCCGTCTCTTAATCCAGTGAGTGGTCCTTTACTAAATAAAAATGTTGAAGAGCCCTGAATGCAAGGGTTGATGTACTGCAATGAATCCATTTCAGAAAAGCAGATCCACAAATCCAATATGCTATATTCCCACTTGATTTCTAAAAAGGCCCTTTCATTTCCGCAAAATGAGTTGTAAGCCTTTCAATCCATCAAGCATACCGTCAGAGCTGTATCCACCCTTACTGTATGCTACAGTATGGACGTTTTACATTATTTGTTGCCATATGCCATAGAATTGCAAGAAACAGCCAAACAGGAACAATTAAACCTAAATCCCAACATCCCAAGTATCCCAAAAAAAGTAGGTCCCAACCCAGAACCGGGAAGCGATAAGCCTGTATAATTACTTACCGTAGTCCACAGTTGAGACATTCTCTCTAGCACCGTTAACAAACTTGAACCCTGGGCCATTTCCATAGAGAATGGATGTGAAGGGCTTCTGGTCAATATCACTCATTATGGGGGCCAAACCTTAGGAAAAGATATTTAAAGCTCAGAGACTGGACCATAAACCACCAAGAAATCACATCATACTCTGTAATTAAAGTCCTCCCAACATGCCTCGAGCTTTCATTACCTACCAAAGATTGAGTTTCCCCGATGTGTGTAGCCTCCAAAGCTGAAGACATGAGAGTGATCAGCCGTGACAACTGTCAGTGTGTCATAAATGCTGGTGAGAAGACCGGCTCGGGTAATGGCCCGGTCCATTTCCACAGCCTCGTGTAAGGCATGTTTGGCTTTTCCATCATGGTGTCCGTGATCAATGCGCCCACCTGCCAGCATACAGCCCAGTCAGCGGACTCATACAGAGCATTAAGACATACACTACATCTCAACACATCTTTCCCTTCAGTACCAGGAACAACATTTGATCCTACATTAATACACAATGTTGAGGAGTTTATTAATAGCAAAATTAATTAAAAGTAGCAATCCTGCATTTTTATGTAATGTGATAGTAGCGGAGCTGTTGTAGTGCAGCTTTTAAATTAATTAAATTAATTCAAATTTAATTAATAAGTGGTTTAGTGTGATTTCTTTTGTCACAGTAGCTGGGTTTCCATCCAAAGTTGCAAATATAACTTATGCGCAAAATTGGAATATCACATAAAACATTTGCGAATAAGCACCGTTTCCATTCAACGAGTCAAAGAGAACAAAATAGTCACTTCTGATAAACTGGCACTAAATATCACTAAGAAAAGTAGGAGAAGCCACTGAATAATAATATAATTTTCATATATAATAAATTACTTGCGCCTCAGAGAAAGCAGACGTAACACAATAAATGCGGTCATTGCTGCTGTTTGGGAATGCAGTCGTGTAAGACAGTTTTGGGAGGCAATTATACAGAAATACTTTGACGACAGATTTTGTTAGGGCATTTAAGAATGATCATAACATTTCAGATGCTGTGCAACAAGACCGGTCGGCTGGTTAGTCAGGTTATCCCGTACCAACGTGCAAAGTCACATGACGTTTTGTTGTGCATGGAGGAATTTATTAGCAAAATTTGTTTCTATCTCCCATTATTCACATCAACCCTTTTTCGCACAAGTCAAAAACTAACTCAAGCGAGTGTAAAACTTTTCGCGAATTAAGGGATTTTTTTTCTAAATATGCCGTTTCCATCACTCATTTCTGATGCGATACTTCAAAATAAGCATAAAAGCAGGGTGATGGAAACATAGCTATTGTAGTGCTTCAAGCGAACTAAGGCAATCGTCCAATTAATTTTAATGAGTGCTTCAAATTAATTTATTCAATACATTTTTCGTCATCTAAAGGTTTTGTGAAATTACTATATAAATGCCGCAGTTTATAACTATGCTTTTAGTTGTATTACAGTTTTCTTGTTTCAATTAGATTTTTAAAAATCTTTTTTGATCACATATATACTTATATTGCATGCATTTCATATATATATAAATATATATATAATGTTTAATATAAATTACCAAAAGCTAAAAAAAAAAAATTTGCAGTAGATTGACAGTAACTTCCACAGCACTGAGAAATGCAAAATAATTGTTCGTAGTTTAATCAGATGTTGAACTGACCTCCCATAACAATACTGTGGTTTAATGACTGCTGATGTACACTATACTTTTACCTTCCACCAATAAGTAGAATCCGCGTTCATTTTTTCGGAGGATCTTAATGGCCACGTCTACCATCTCAGTGAGGGAAGGGTCAGTTTCTTTGTTTCTCTCGAGCTCATAGGGCAGGTCTGCTGGCTCAAAAAGACCTGCAGCACAAATAGAACAAAAAAAGTTCAGTTTTAACAGGAAAAGTTAAAACAATGTCTCAAAAAAGGTCACTTAAGCAATGGTTATGAAACTCACCCAAAAGATAATCCACATTGCTTGGATTCAGAGAAAAGAGATCCTTCCTGTTCCAAACATAGTAACCTCTCTGATTACACAAAGGTTAAGAGAAAAACAAGAAATAGGTTAGATAAATGATCGTACCCTCTTATCTAGATGCTTTATAGAATGTGCTACACTGCTATGATCCAATATCTTACAACCAAATCTCTGTAATACGGTTTCACAACAAGTACAAATTGTCTTCATTTGTTATTAACTGCACAGCTATAAAGCCTGCTTTAGGGGCCTCAAGAGCATCAGATCAGATTCAGAGAAGTCAATAAACTGGGCATCATCAAAAGAGCACAAATACAGCACCAGAGACAGGCAAACACAGAGAGAAAATGAAAAAGAGATTTGTCAGCAGAGGCATAGCGTGGAAGCTTTTTTTTCCTGAACTGAATTGAACATGACATTGTAAATGAAAAGATGGAATGAAGTGCCGTGTTTTTCCCTAATTTCATCTTTCACCTTATCCTTCATTCTGTCAGTCCACTCCCCCACGAGGTTCCTGCCATCTTTGCGTGTACCGTTGTGTTTCTTGTCTCCTGGGTATTCCACATCTGGTGTGTTTCTGGGGTACATATTTCTCCTCCCACCCCCCATAATCACCTGCCCATCCAAATCAAGAAGAAAAGAGAAACATCACACATTTATTGTACACAGTGCTGTCCAAAAGAAAATCTCATTTAAACCAAAACATGTTGAAAATGTAAAATTAATAAACATTATGATGTACAATGAAGTAGAAATATTTACAATGCTGCACTTTTTTATAACTCTAACTGCTATGCTAATAAATATTAATTTGTCATTAATATTTGAAACAATTGCAAAAATATGTATTATTCTTCATAAGAAAAATAATATTAATAATAGTCATTTTAAATATTATTATTTAATATTGGTGTATTTAAATATATTTAAAATATTAAATAAATTATTTTATCAGCATTAATATTGTTGTTGTTATAATTGTTAATATTATTAATTATTATTGTCGTTATTATATTTTATAATTTATTTAACAACAATAATAAATACTTTAAATATTAACTAAGTATTTTATCAACATTATTATCAATAACAACAAAAAATAGTGTATTGTATAATTTATTTAATCATACTTTTATTTTATCAATATTAGTAGTAGTAACAATAGTAATACATACTTCTTATTCATTTTTATAGTTGTTGTTAATATAATCATTTCTAATCAATATTTTAATAATTACTTTTTTTGTATAATTTGTAACTAATATTTTAAATTATTATGCATTTGTTTTTTAATTGAATACATTTGTATATGTAAATAAGTACATACAGTCAAACCAAAAATTATTCAGACACCAGACATCATTTTTGATATTTTTTACTAGTGGGTGCTGGACACTATAGTTTATTTATGTGAGTGAGGATAGCAAAATAAAGTAAACTGTGACATATTATACCAACAATTCTTCACACAGTGGATTAGCAGTAAAACTGATAAAAATTTGGGACCAAAAATTATTCATACACTTTGACCTGACCATGTTTTGGTCCAAGTGTTTTTCTTTAATTGCTAATGCGACCTTTTTTACACCACAGACTGAACAAAATTAAGCATTGCTTGCTAATTGGTTGACCTAAATTGGTATTATCTAATTGTGTACTTAAATTTAACAGCTGAAAGCTGTTTAACATTCAACCTAATTCATTACATACCTTTCTCTCAAAGTTATCTGACATTATCAAGATTAATTTGTTCTGACACACTTTAACTCTGAGTTCTTGTCATATTTTATTACCATTTTCTAAACTATAGCGAATAAGCTGTGATAATGTAAGAAATGTTGAAGATGTCTGAATAAATTTTGGTTTGACTGTATAAATATTACACTGAATGACCCAACCCAACACTATATAAAACCAGTTCATAAAATTGGAAGATAATCATTAAAAAAACTCACGTCAATGTCAGGGATATTTTCAAAGAGTTGTCTGGCGATGTCCTTGCATCCGCTCTGGAGTGCTTCAGCAGGCATGTCTCCATCTGAATACCAGTCCCGGTCTACACAGTGTGCATACGCCGCACTCGGAGTGGCATGGTTCACTCGTGTTGTTGTGACGATTCCCACTGATTTGCCTGGGGAAAATACAGGTTGAAACATGGCCATGATTACCACTATATCTACTGTCGATTCAACTGGATTACGTATTTTTTTTCCTCATCTATCTAGTAATTCAACAACATATATTTAATCAACAGACTGACTTAGAGTAAACCAACTGAAATATGCACTGCATCAGCTTTGCAATGTTTGATTGTAAGTCTTGTTGTCTGGCTAAGGTCACCCAGTTGTATGGTACAGTATTTTAATGCATTATCTGGACACAAGCACCCAAGTGAGAAAGCATTTTACCCTGTACTCAGATCAGGTCAGGTTATCAGTTTGACACTGATTGGACCATCCGCCTTTTAAACCTCTCAGCTGGATTTTAAATGTTTATTCTGGTCATGTCATACAAATTCCACTCGGCTTCTTTCATTCACCTCTACCTTCGGCAGAGGACTTCCATCTTATAAAATGCTTCATTTGTTTTTATTTTCAACATGAGAACAAAATATGAGCAAGCCGTCTGCGTGTCACGCTCATCAGTCACTCTTCTCATTTCTGCCTTTACTTCAGATAAGGACGTGTTTTTTTCCGCTTTCTTCAATCTTTTATCTGCTCAACCTGCTTTATGTGCCAGTGTCACCTTTGTTTCTCTCATGCAAAAACAAGTTAATGGATTGCTAGCATAAAAATAAGCTAAGAAACAAATATCCCATCTATATTCTAATTGCAATAGAAGTCGGGGACAGAAAGGCATTATAGCTGCTGTGTGAGAGGATTCAGCAGGGCATCTTACCTGCGTCTTTGGCCCATTTAAGAATGGAGGTGACCTCGTTCCCCCGAGTGGTGTTGCACTGGGATTTCACAGCTGCTGCGCTCACACCAACCGTACCCTCGTTGGCCTTCACCCCGCACAGATATGCTGTGGCAGTGCCCGCACTGTCTGGGACCTGAGCATTGGTGTTATATGTCTGGGGGGAAAACATGTACAATTTTAATAGCTGCAGGGATTGTTTACAAGAGCAAAATTAAAGTGTACTTAGTGCACTTAGTGTAGCTCTATAAATGTCCATTCAGCATTTTGCAGCATCTAGCACGTTTATAAACAATGATAATTTTTATTATGAGTCCAATAGTCTGAGACCATTAGTATTTTTTTCAATTGATAAAAAAAGTATTGTCATAGCCCTGTAAAGCTTATGAAATAATATCTACTGAAATGGAACCCTTTATTGAAGCTTTAGACAAAATACGTTTTTAAAATCTAAAAAGGTTTCCACATGTGTTTTTTGTTGAGTATCATATTTGATACATCTGGCTTTTATGGCTCATGTAGTATGAGTATAATCTGGAGCTCATACACAAGGAGAAAAAAAACACCTCAATTTTATGCCCAAGCTGAGCAAAAATATGAAATTTGGTGCAGTTGCTGTCATTTATGTGGCCAGAAGGTAAAATGAAATTCTAAGCTTGTAAAGTAAATCAATGAGATCTTCACAACAGTACAGATGATAATGCATATTAAAATAATATCCCAATAATATGTCTTTAAAAGATGATTGAGAGATAAACGGTCCTCAAAAGCCTGATGTATCATATTTGATACTCATTTTTTAACATAATTTTTCTTAAAAAATTATGTATTGATAATCAGGTCCATCTAAATTGCTTCAGTTCAGTAAGTGTTCATCTTGAAATCTCACTAGCAATATAAAATATATTCTTAAACTTATTTGCTGACTTTAGAATAATCATTAAAGATTTCACAGCAAAAAAGATGCACGCACCACGACTTGAAAGGGAACGCTTTTTGAATTATACTAAAATGCCTTCAACATGCTAAAAACATTTAAAATATCAATCATATGACAATGGCGTGTAATAGATTGTGTACAACAGTTTTAATCATGTTAGTAATTTGGAGCCCTTAGAAATTTGTATATCAAATAGGCTTTATAGGGTTAAGTGAAAAGTTTACATGAAGCCAAAAAGAAAACAGCTTCATAAATTTTGAAGATAATAATTGACTATCTTTCACAGATGTTATTTTAATAATAGCTATAATAATCTGTGAAATATTTATTTTAAGAGAGCCATCGTCCCAGAACTGTGACCTCTAGAGAAATGAAACTATGATTTGAATCTGTTCTCTGTGGCCCGGGGTGAGCGACTGCATGAATTATGAACACAAAGGAATGGCATGATGGGATTACAGCACGTGGGATGTACCTTAGAGAGGGCAACGTAGGGAAATTTGTCCATCTCTAGCTGTGTTTCCTCACCATTCTGTCCACTCAGTTGACCCTTTAGAATGCGTGCTGCTGTGACCGTGGGTACACCCATGCCTACACACGACAAAGGTTGGATCATTCACAGTCTATTTTAACAACATATCCTTCAAGCACCTTCTATCATGAACAACATAGTCTGCCTTTACTTTAGAACCTCAAAGGTGCTTGAGAAAGCCCTTATAGTATGTTACTGAACAAGAATTAAATCTTGAATTTTGTTCATAATTGTGAGATGAAAGGGCCACTTGTCACTTAATGACATAACCTGCTCTTCTTAAAAGCATGAGGCAAATTAAAGTCGACTTAAAAATTTTAAAAATGCACAATTCCATTGAAAAGAGTTCACAAAGTCTGTCTTTAAACCTTATACGTATATAAAGCTTAAATAAATCATGAAATATTCCAAATGTAATTATTGTAACGTGTTAATGTATGAAATGAGGGTCTTGGCTTTAGTTGATATAAACTGAAATTGTATCAAAAGAACTCTGAAATATAAAACAGACCAATTTGATCGAATTGCAAGTACTCAAAATGTTTAGGCAAATACATATTTGTTTACCTTGTATTCTTGGCATGAGGACAAAGTAATCTTCAATAAAACTATGACTTTTAAAAGTATTCTATAACCTCATTTGAACAATATCGTCTAAACCCTGATCTTGCCCATTTTTTCCACAGTCAACCACCAAAATAAGTTATATTTGAACCATGTTTTCAGTCCAAATTTAATGTGATGAGATGACAAGACTGTGTACCACTAAATAATGGCAAGTAACTTTTTTATTGAGCGGTGTAGTCTGGTGTAACAAATGACAAATGACTCTTTTAATCTGGTTCTTTTCAGTTAATCAAATACATTCAGTGTGGTTCGATTCCTGAACAAGTGACTCTTTCACACTGCTTCTTTTTAGAGAATTAAACAGTGAAACCAGTGAATTCGAATTCATGAACAAATGACTCTCATGAGATGGAAAACAGCTCTGAGTTACTGTTTGATGGACTCTTGAACTCAATCCTCGAATCAACTCACTGAATCTGTCAGAAGTGGTTATATAATCAACATTACATTATCATGGCTTTGAGTAATGCAACATTTTAATAAAATAGGATATATTGCATACAAAACCTATTCAAATTCACAAGTCTTTTTTTAACTTGGTTGGCTGACCTCCAAGAAAATAATCAGAAACATTACAATTTCAATCATCTTAATGCATGAATCAACATGTCAACTGATACAAATCTTCTTCAATCTCTATTTCAGCCATTGCTTCTAGATAATCTTTTATGTGAATTCATCCTTTTGTGGCTGGTAAGTGGTTTTTGTCATAGTGGACAGTGAGAACTGCAATAAATCTACATGACAGTGGTTGAACTGAGGCTTCATAAGATATCATTTTTAGGTTTTTATAAACTGTTGCTTATATGCCAGCATTGCTTTCACAGGGGTGTGGTGCAAAATAAACGAAATTCTTCCTGTAAAATTTGATCATTTCTGAGGTATTGTTTTCTGCAAACAATATTCAGACTACCTTTTCCTTCCTTCTTTCCTTGCTTTTATCGCCTAAGCTTATTTTGATAACTGCTGTTTTTTCATTGTGCAAGCTGGAGTTCATCCAGACATTGACTATGGTTAATTTGTTTATTTCTCCTTAACTTGGTATCCTTCACTGCCCATGTTAATGCTTAATTTTGAAGCAGGTGCATACACTGTAACAGTGCTTTTAAAAATATTTAAAGGGGTCATATGATGCTTTTTTAAAGATCATTATTTTGTGTATTTGGTGTAACAGAATATGTTGACATGCTTTAATGTTCAAAAAACACATTATTTTTTTAAATACTGTACATTATTGTAGGTCCTCTATGCCCCGCCTCTCTCAAACGCTTCGTTTTCTACAAAGTCCCTCCTTCCGACAAGCGCAGTCTGCTCTGATTGGCCAGCTGACCCAGTGCATTGTGATTGGCCGAACACCACAAGCACGCGTCGGAAATGTAACGCCCCTTACCATAATTGCGAGCTTCATCTTTCAAAATAAATGTGAAGACAGAGCCCGAAAGGGGAACAGAGTCGCGTGACAGACACAGTGATGAAGCTGGTATGTGTTTGTGATATGACCCCCTCTCTCTCTCTCTCTCTCTCGCTTGCGCACACACACGATGTGCAAAACTCCACATTTGAACAGTCAATAGAAAATACTTGAACTAATAACAAAACAGTAGCTGATTCTGAAGCGCCAGATTGTCATAGCAAAGTCAGAATTACCTCCTCTCCTAGGTTCATGAAACGGTCGTCCATAAAATGCATTGCTGTTCTGTTGTAAGTAATCTTAAAGATTCCTAAATGCATCTACTTTCGGAAGGCCAAATAAAGTGCTTTTGCTTTCGCCTAGAAACACACAGCGTCTCCCTGACATGCTGCGTCAACACTAACTGCGGTTACTGAAACCACACCTTCTTTCTTTGCGCGCACATTTGGGCGGCATTATGCTAATATTTCCACATAGTGAGGTAGATATGTGGGGGCGTGTTCGAACGAGCCGTTTTAGGGGGGCGTGGCAGAGTCTTAACTTTGATAAAGAATATCTCTTTGGTTTTGAGACTTTAGTCTTTGCAACTTCAGGGATCTAATCTATGCACAATCAGCTTGTAACACTCCAAAGAGAAAGGAAAACTTGAAATCGCATCACATGACCCCTTTAACTCTTTTTGTTAAACCTGGTATTGCACAAACAGTTTTCAAGTCTTGGTTGGAAAAAACAACAACTTACCATCACCAAGAAAAAGAATGATGTTCTTGGCAACATTTTTGTTGAGGTCTTGAAGGGTCAAAGCATTTTTTAGTGTGCGCTGAGCCCATTCCTTCCAGAAACCAGGGTCCTTCTCTTGTTCTACAAGCCGTAAGAAAACATGTTTACACCTTTGCCCACAAATTATAACACACAACCAACAAAGTTGCTCCTGCAAAACAAGATAATGATCATGGCCTTAGACCAGAAGTATCCATTTAGAGATTATGAGTATGCTATCGCTCTCTAAAGTTACGACGACAACAACTACATTTCTATGTTATGCACGTCTTCTTCAGTCCACATAAGCTTATTAAACCCCACAATCACGTAAATGAACACATCTGGGACCATATGACCCGAAAGTCCAATCTTCTTATGGAAGCTGTTGTTCATTTGAAATGAGATTTATTCTATGTCTATAGTTGGTACAAGGTCAAAAAGAAGACTGTTAAACTTCGGTGGTCTGAGATGGAGTTACACCGTTTATGAAGCACTCATCTGACACTATATGACTCTGCATAAATCAAAGATACTGCAGGCAAATTATAAGGTAGGGGTGCTCAAAAATGCTACTTTCCTGCACAGTTTAGTTCCAACCCTCCTCCAGTACAAATGTTTGTTATTATCCTTAAGTCTTCTTGAAGATCTCGATTTGCTGGTTCACAAGTATTTGATTTAGGGCTGGAGGTAAACTTAGCAAGAAGGTAGGTCTTCAGGAACAGGATTTAGCACCCTAGCTATAATGTGCTCTAAAACAGTCTCAGTTAAATTTTAAAGAGACAATATTCTCATCATCGCAGAGAAAAGTGTCATCATCAGTTGTCATATCTAATAATGGCAAAAGGCCAATAAACAAAAAAAAGTGTCTCAACTGACCTGGAAATTCAGGCTTTGCCATTCCTTCCCAAACCAGGCAACCGAGGATAAAGAGTGCAGCGACCTTCATTTTGTATCAGCCGCCGTTTTGCAGAATAACTCAAGTTCCAAGGATGTCAGAAGACTCCAAGATCTGCAATGAAAACAGGTAATGTCTAGTCAATGTTAAAATGTTCTTCTATTCCAAATTCAATGTTCAGAGATAGCTATAAGTAAGCCATTCATATGCTGATTTGAACTCTGTGGCACTTCCATCTATTTGTTTGAGCAGTCTAACATAATTATATCAGCTCAACCAATGATGTGAGTTTGGGGCAGGGCTACATTTCTCCAGGTATATTTAGTTTGAAAACAATTATTATTGTTGCTGCTACATGTGGAATGACACACTTCTTCTTTAAAGACAGAAAACAACTATTTACTATCCCAAGGCTTATTTTTTTCCATCAAAATCTTATATTCATGTGCAAAAACAAATGAAATATGATTGACTGTTTCAGCTGGGGATGCACGTCACAAAAATGGATACAAGCAATAATTTAGTGGCATATTTGCACATTCATTTGTGTAGCTACCTAAAAGTTCACACCTGAAAACGTGATATGGCTGCATTATTAGTATTAAACCTTTATGTCTTCTACTCTATAGTCAAGGTCACTTTAATGGGATTGAGTGCCACTGCACATGGTGCTTTAATAGGCATGACAAAGCTGATTAACTGGACACCTCTGTTCCAAGGAATAGGACCGCAAGATTTCTATTACGAACACACACTTTCTCAGCTTACTTCAGATCCTTTTAATGGGGTATTTAGTCATTGCGCAGAAAGCATCAGTCTGTATCAAAGTCATGTGTTCAATCAACCTATACGTTAGCCATGCTGCCTGGAGCTTTGACCACTTTGTATTTACACTTGTAAAACTGGAAAAAATGGGCATTGTGTTAGTCACGTAATGCATTGAAATATTATCTCATATGAAATGTTTGAGTAAATGCACAGCTATGGGGTTCTTTCAGGTCTGGTAATTCCCACGCAGTTTCGAAGTGTGAAAAACATAGCTAGAATTGATTTGCTTCATTTGTAGTGCAATGAAATGAATTGCTTTTCACTGCAGTTTCATTACATATATATATATATATATATATATATATATATATATATATATATATATATATATATGTGTGTGTGTGTGTATGGGAACAGACAGGAATCCTCAAAGAATCAAATAAGATCCTACTTGATGAACTAAAATGTTATTCAGCATGATCTTATATGATTCTTAGATGACTTTTGTTTGCTCCAATTCGGATTGGTTCCAAATTACAACAGAAATTCCATTTCTTTAGATCAGTCAGGAAATGCAATGGTTTAGGAGGGTAAAACTGTACAGAAACGTGAGATTGTGCCCTAAAATAAAATAAATGAATAGATTAATAATAAAGTGAAATATTAAAATATACTTGGTGAGCATGAAATATTAATATTATCACTCAGTATGTTGAATTTTTTTTTTCTCTAGACTGTCCAACATGCACTTAGTCTATTACGGTATTCATAATTAGATTAAATGAAATTCATATAGACTGCTCCTGTGATTAACATTTTTCAATGTCTGAATGAATTTTTGTCATAATCTTTTAAAATTAATAATTTTAAAGTAGAGGATAAAAACTTCTTCCCAAATCAAAGTCAAACAAGCAGAAAGCCATTTGACTGTCATATGACAAGGACACCATAAACATGCCAGCACCCCTTCAGACCTTTAGGACAGTGTCAAGGTCATTAAAGATTTTTTTAAATCACATATTTTAATAACATTTTCTTGTTTGACTTAAAAATGACGTTTTCATGTCAGATGGAGAAATCCTAAAAACATCTTCATATGCATGTCATGATATTTTTAAGATTGCTTTTTCTACCTTAAAAATGAAATAATTAGTATTTAGTACTCGATTGATGTATTCAACCAATATAAATACATATGTCACATTTCTTTATCTCTGGCATATTTATTTATCATTGACCTATATATATTGAGTTTCTTTGTCAGCATATATGAATAAAACCAACATCTTTGCAGTAATAATCGTTTTCCTCGACACTCAACATACAACGTCCCAGTGTCTCACGTGCAGTGATGCACAGAGAAGCGCTTCTTTTTCAATTACATCCTCTCATCTTTTCAGATCATTCAATGTCTGTTTGTAACCAAAGGCTGTACGCTCTACAGAACAGGAAAACCATCGACATCCCCCACATCACTGGAGCGTAGCATTGTGATTCCCGGTTTGCTGCTTAATTGCGGTAAAGTTGGAAGAGCAACTCGCCGTTATGCAAACGGAGATCCCAACGCAACCTGAACAACTTGCTGGATTGTATTGAATTAATAACAGCCCAACTCTCCAACACTTCCCAGCGTTGCCATTAGAACTCCAGTCACATGTAGCGATGAATGAACAGTCATTCAGCAGATATAAGCAGCGCTAAAAGTGATCCTACTCACCCTCGTGTTATATGTATCCGTGCACCTCTGCGATTTCAGCAACACAGGACTCACATTCACGTGCTGTTCTCTAGTCGAGCTTTTATAATGCTTTACAATGCGCCAGCCCGCCGAGAGAGAGAGAGAGAGAGAGAGAGGCCCCGTTAGTAGAGTCCACTATTAATAATAGTGCAATCTGAAGCGCGAGCTCCTCCTGTTGATAGGAGCCGCTTGAGTTGAAGAAGAAGCTCATGTACTGTAGGACCCCAACAGCTATATTTCTATTGCATTCCTGCATTTCTTGTTCGATAAACGTTGTCAATACAGCATTAACACATATGCCAGTACAGCGACGCCAATGTTTTATTTGTGTAAAACCAACAGCTGTATTTGACAAAACATTCGAAGTCATTTTTAGTCAGGTTACAAAAATAAGTAGTGAGTAAAAAAGGTCAAGTCAAAATGTATCAAATCCACAACACATAGCAGCCGTAGTTTTCAGCAATTCCATTTGATCCCCGCTAGTTAAGTACTGAAAAAGAATAGAATAAGAATTACAAAATATTATGGCAAGCTTAAAATATAAAGCATAATAAAAATGATAGCTACGCGCATCAGTGCAGCCATAAACCTGATGAACCTCATGTTTCAAAATTCCGCAAGTTCATGTGTAAAGATGGCAAATTAAAATGTGTGAAATGCACAAAACAGTAAAACATTAGCAGTAGTTTTTGGCAATTATATTTTATCCGAGCAAGTTAGATAAATAAATAAATAATTCACAAAATGAAGTAAGCAATTAAAAAGAGATATACATACATACATAGCCTATAACAACAAATGTGCAACATATTCTCATGTGTCTCATTACATCTTACCTAGAGTTCATTGTAAGTGTTTCCCTAAGGCAAAAAGTCACAAATCTGTAAATTTGTACTTTTTCCAAATAAAAAACAAATCACTCGTTGATTTCGATTTTCGTGTGCTAATGATGCGAAGGCGGTTTGCATTTACCTAACGTTACCTTTAGTCTTTGCCTTGAACTTTCTACTCGGACTTGAGTCTACCAGATAGTTCATCTACATTCTGATAGACTAACCACAAGATGTCACTATGAACTCAACAATGCGCTTGATTGCCCATCAGCGCGAGAGCAATGTCGCTCAGCCTAAAGACTGGTAATCGGCCATTGAGCTGCTGTGGGCTTTTGCCTCGCGGTGATTTCAGCTGTGAAAAGCCTTGGCCTCGCAATAATCCACATAAACCTCCTAATACCTTTCACATAGCATTTTGGCTGCCATCATGTTTTCACGTGAAGAATGACAGAATTAACTTTTCTGAAGGGTTTTGCGTAAAATTAATATTTGCCAATAATAGACTGTAATCGCTAAGTATGAACTAATAAGTGATACAATGTTCTGTGTAATTCCAATGCAGCCTTATCTCATATTTTTCGTTCCCTGAATGGCCGGGAACTATAACAATAAATTAAGTGTTTTACCTATTAGATTGTGTTTTATTAACGTCTACCCATACCCCAACCCTAAAACTACCCCTTACAAGAACGCAAAAACAGTCATTATTGTTATACAGCGTGACAAAATTACGCTATATTGATGTGCGCACGCAGTTTTCCGATATTCACGACATTATTATGGCGGGAACCAATAGCATTCGAGCTCGAGCCGTGGAGGAGCAGGGGCCCAACGAGAACGAGAGGGGCACAATTTCTCCAGCCCTTTCTCCCCCTTTTGTGAACGAGATTTCTTCACATCACGATCTGAACCAACCCTAGGCTATTATTGTTTTTTCACCTCTTGAATCTTAGTAATGAACCAATTCACAAGATTCGAATCGCTGAGTTGAATCCATCTATACTCTGAAAAGATGGTAGGCTATTTTAAAGCTGTGAATTTTCCAACAACAACCAGTCTTAAAAAAAATACTTTTAATACACAGTTTCTAATGAGAACAGAATCTGCCACAGCAGATTATATTATTATTATTATTATTATTATTATTATTATCTATCATTATTTACCATTATAATTTAAACAAAATATTGGGTATGCAGTTGCGGCGCTATATGACATGAAGTTCATATAAAATCATACAATTTCTTTCTGTATCAGTATTGAGCTGTCACCAATGTCCCGCCCTCAGTTGAAATACAATTGGTCAGAAGTTGAAAGTGGAAACCTGCTTTGGAATATGATTGGTTGACTGAAGTTACTATTATAATCCTGACGGGTGCCTCGCATTTAAACTGTGTACGCTCGTGTGCAAGCTGTATCGAGTCAACAGGGGAATACTAGTTTGCATAATAGAGATTATAAAAGGAAAGTGGACAGCTGCCTAGAAAAGAGAGATAGTCTAATACATATGGTAAGGACACAGAACTTTTCCTTGTTTGTCAAAATAACAGTTGCTTGCATGTTACTGCACTGCTCACGGTGTGTTGTATAATTTGCAGATAAAGCTGTATAAATGTAATTTAATATATCAGTACACAGTTTCGCATTTCTGTCTCTAAATTAGTAGTTTCAGGCAACGTGCTTAAATGCACGTGAATTCATCAGGTGAAACGTAAACCTGTTTATTTAACTATAGCCTACTCTTAAATAAACACTCCCTGTTTGTTATGGTAATCACTGATATGCATTCTAATACTTCAATCCACGTTACTGTGAAAATGGAACTGAACTAATTAAGTCAGTTCCGTGTGCTGTATTAATTTGAACAGAGGTTACTTATTACCCAGAATTCATCATGAGAGTTTACTTTAAGGCAACAAAGTCACAGCTGTACATGCTGACCAACAACAAGGCTGTAAACATAGTCTGGCTTGTGACTCCTTCAGTCTTGTGTGCTTCAAATAAAACAATTAAGTTTAATGTTCATGTAGCCTAATGTTTATATACATATTATTAAGAATGCGTATGAGCCTTAGCTAATGTTTGTATCAAGGACAGACATGCGTTTAGTATACTTTTTGTAAAATTATTATTTGTGAAATGGAGCTTATTTTGTCATGTATAATAGACCTTTATGTGTTTATATTAAATATATATTTACTGTTAATCAAGTGACAGCAAGCATGGTACAAGACACTGAGTACAAGATTACACATCCACACATTACACATCATGATTACCCATGTCTTGCACAATTTCCTCAAGAGATTAAGATGCCCGATGGTTTAAGTTTTTATCTCTAGTGTAATCCTAGAGAGGAAGACTGCGCCGGGGAATCTCTGACGCCAGAAGTTGTGACTTTTGTCGTTATCATGAGACTTTATGTTGTCATATGTTCCAGAGAGCGGAGGTCGGCATGTTGTTTTTAGTCGTCTCCTCTATGGATTTCCATCTTCTTAATCCCTGATTAGGATGTGTTATGAAATGTAGAAACCCAGACATCTGAAGTGTTTCTGTTTGGATGACAGCTGACATGTTCATGGGTGATGTACAGGTTAGTTTAGTTAAAAGAGGTAACTGTGGACTTAACTGTGACTCATTGTCACCAGATGTGGGAAAGCTCAGAGTGATTCATTTTTTACAGAAATGCATAATTTAGCTTCTTTTGTAACTGGACAGACACCACTTTTAACACTGTTATTTTTACCTTTTGCCTGCTCCATTTTTTATTTGATCTTAATGTTTTAAATGACTTTTCTGTTTTTACAACCATTTTCTATAGTATATGATTTTTTTTATTGACCTGATAGAGATGTCAGAAGCATAGGGGGAACTGGCGCCAGACTCTTAAGAGATAGTTCACCTAAAAATGAAAATTCTGTCTATATTTGCCACTCTCATGTCATGTCCTAACCCAGTGATCCTCAAATCTGGCTCGCGGGATCCACTTTCCTGCAGAGTTTAGCTCCAACCTAATCAAACAACTATACCTGTGATTTTTCTAATGATCCGGAAGACATTGATTAGCAAACTCAGGTGTGTTTGATTAGGGTTAGAGCTAAACTCTGCAGGAAAGTGGATCTCGCGAGCCAGATTTGAGGATCACTGTCCTAACCTGTATGACTTTCTTTTTTTCTGTGGAACACAAAAGAAGATACTTTGAAGAATGTTGGTAACCGAACAGTTTTAGTTCTTGTTGACTTCCACTGTATGAAAAAAAACAACAACACTTAAGACATTTCTCAAAATATCTTTTTTATAGTAAGTAAATGATGACAGATTTTTCATTTTTGGGTGAACTAACCCTTTAACTCTTTTGTACTAACGATTTGGCAAGGGAACTGCAGGTGGTTTTGTTTCATGAATTGATGAAAGGCTATTATTTAATTAAATGATAAAGTAAAATTAAAAATAAATAATTTTAAAATAAAACCAATCAAAATAAAACACTTACTAAATTAAGATGAAATATTTTCAAGTTTACCTGCATGTCATTAACCAGTATCAGAGAACGGAGAACATGTAGGCCTAAATGTATTGTTAAAGAGGTCAAAGAGTTTCAGCTGACAAAAAAAAAACTCTAACCTGCTTTACATCATTTCCTGTCATATATTTTGATTTAAATCTACAGTCTCCAATATCGTATGTCAAATTTATACAGCCAAGGTGGCATTTCTGCAGTGGCATTTACACAGATTTTATGTGTACTCACATTTCTGCTCGGAGGTTGCAGAAATGCATTTGTACAACAATCAAAACTATATACTGTATAACTGGGGGCTAAAGTTGGTCAGAGCAGGCATAATTTAGTCTGGCTTTTATACAGCATTATGTCTTGACACTGAATTTTGAGCAGGCATGGAGCAGCCTTAACTTGGCTGTGTAAAAACACTTTGTGTCTGATCTGAGTGTAATCTCAGCATGTAAATGAAACCCTTGCTCTCAAACTACTGAAACGGGGTGTATGATAATATTACTCTTACCACCAGGGAATGACCCCAAGTAATGCGTGACAAAACTGGAAGATCATGTGACAGAGTTACCAAGTATCAAACGTGCTTCTTTATTTAGGTGCTTCTTCTGCCTTGCATAAAAATCAAAACCTGAACTTTAATGCTCAGATTGACATTGGATGACTTAGACCAAAAATATTTGTTAAAAAGTGGTACGTGAACAGGAATTAGGCCATATCCAAGTCACAGAGTCTCTGACTCA